TAGAGTCAGCTAAAAAGTCCCCGTCCCCACCCCCATCCAACACTGACTACCCACCGAGCCACCCCCACACAAAGGCGCTCCAGGAGGCTAGGTAGGGGCGGGAGGAGACGAGGAAAGAGGGGGAGAGAGGCAGGGGAGGGGGAGGGCGGAATCCTGGGTGCCCTGCTACGCGCCTGGCCAACACGGGGCGGCAGAACGGGCGAGCCCAGTGCACGACACCAGGGTCGGCCACCCGCGGCCGTGCTAGGGCAAACACGCGCAGCTGTCCAGCCCGCAGCAGGCTCGAGCCCGCAAGCCGCTGGGGTCAAGGGATGGCTGTCCGAGAGACACGACGGGAACGCTTCATCACAAGAAGTGCAAATCAAGAGGAACGCAAATGCCGGAGCCCGTCGACGGACGACGTCCCTAGACTGGCTGGGAGCACAAATACCTTGGGATTCGATCCAGCCTGGCCAGGCCCCAACCGACGCCCAACCTTGACTCGACCCCGACCTGGCTAGACCACTCGGGCGAATTACCAGGGTGCCAGCACACGTGTCAGATGGACTCTGGCACGCCTCGTCGCCTGGACGGACCGCTGCGGGGGTGCGAGTCGACCCATCGCCAGCTGGCATCCCAAAACTGCGCGCGGCGCCATGGCGGCGAATCCCAGACCCTGTCTGGCTCCTCCGACGTCATGATCTCTTCGACACGTGGACACCCGGAAATCTGGTGGCCCCTTTCCTGGGAACCGCCTTCCGTCCCCGCGAGCCGCTTTGTTGACGGGCCCCGAGGCCCAGCAGGGGCGCCCAGGAGCCGAGAGTGGCCCCCTTCAAGCCCTGCGCTGTTTTTCCACGGTGCAAGGGCCGAGGGGGTCAGGGGCTGCAGGAGGGGAGGGGGGGGAGGCGAGGAGGAGAGGCTTCAGGGCTTCAGAAGGGGGGAGTGGCTGCAGAAGGGGAGGGGGGGGAGGCGAGGACAGGGGCTCGGCGGGACGACAGACAGACAGACAGACAGACAGACAGACAGACAGACTGGCAGGCAGGCAGGCAAGCAGGCAGATAGGCAGGCAGGCAGGCATGTAGACCTATACGATCACCCTTCGGGTGATAAGGAGGTTTGGGGGGGAAGTGCAAACTGAGGACAACTGCAATGATTGTGATAGTGGCGATACTGGTGATGCGCTCACGAGTTGGCGACGATGCAAGACGAAGATGCTGACGGCAATGCATGACGGCAATGGGCTAATACACTGGCGAGACTGGCGGAAAAGCATGATGACGATGACGACGGTGGCAGTTGTTCGGCCCAATACCCCTTTGACGACGACTGTGGCGTCGAGGTGTGATGATGAGTGTGGTGGTGATGAGTGTGACGACGCTTGTGGCGGTCGTGGTGATGGCGAGTGCGGTGGTGAGTGCGACGATCGTGGTGGTGATGAGTGTGGCGATGACAGCGACAACGGTGTTGAGTACGATCGCGACACCATCGGGACACCATCAGGACACTAATCGGGACACCGACGGAACACTAATCGGGACACCAATCGGAACACCGACGGCGGGTCAGCGACGGGACACCGACGGGACACCGACGGGACACCGACGGGACACCGACGGGATACGGACGGGACACCGACGGGACGCCCACGGGACACTGACGGAGCATCGACGGGACACCGACGGGACACCGACGGGACACCGACGGGACACCGACGGGACTCCGACGGGACTCCGACGGGACACCACGGCGGGACACCCCCAGGCCACCGCCCGCGGACACCGACGGGACACCGACGGGCTACCACGGCGGGACACCACGGCGGGACACCCCCGGCCACGACGGCCCACCGGAGGGGCGGTCTTTTGTCTTGACCCGCCGTAGCCAAAGCGGAGGCGTGCCTCTCGCCCGCCCACGCAGCTTCGCCTAGCCCGCAAGCACGACACGAACCCAAAACCGAAACCGATTTCTGGGGTGCTCTTCGCTCAACTGCGATCTCACCCCCCAACCTCCGATACAGACAGAGAAACTAACCAAGAGAGCAAGAGAGAAACAGATGAAAACACCATAATCTGTAAGAGTCAAGCACGCACACACAACATACACACAGTCACATCACAAACAAACAAACAAAGAAACAAATAAACAACAAGCAAACAAACTAACAATAAAGCAAGCAAACACACGAACACTTACAAACTAACAAACAAACAAGCAAACAAGCAAACACACAAAGAAACAGACAAACAGACAGACAGGCCGACAGGCAGACAAACAAACAAACAAACAAACAAACCTACAAACAAACAACCAAACATACCTACAAACAAACAAACAAACACACAAACAAACAAACAAACAAACAAACAAACAAACAAACAAACAAACAAACAGTCAAAGCAGTGAGGGCCCCACAAGCGCCGAATGGGAGCGGCTGCTGGCCTGATAGATGATGACGCCCGTGCCGTAGGTGGCCACCAGCGTGAAAACTAAGGCCACGGCCAAGCGGATAGGCACCATCACGCTGGGCGCGGCCCCGGGGCAGCCAGGGGAGGAGCGGAGGAGGAGGAGGAGGAGGGAGGAGGGAGGAGGAGGAGGGAGGAGGAGGAGGAGGAGGAGGAGGAGGAGAAGAAGGAGGAGGAGGAGGAGGGAGGAGGAGGAGGAGGGAGGAGGAGGAGGAGGTTCGCTGTTTTCGGCCTTTGGAGAGGGCCTGCGCGCGGGCGGGCGACAGCCTCGGCGCCCCATCGGCGGCGGCTCCCGCGGAGGACCCGCGGGAGCACGCATGCTCAGCGCACCCTCCCCAAGAGCACGAGGCTCCCTGAAGCCCTACACGCCGCAACGCTGGTCCCGGGCAGGCTGTGCTACCCGGCGGAAGGGGACGAGGAGGGGCGAAGCAGGCGGACGACGACGAACGCACAGGCGGGAGGCCAGGACCGGCGGGGCGGGGCGGGCAGGCGGAAGAGGGGACAGGCGGAGACAGCAGGCGGGAGGAGGAGGAGGAGGAGGAGGAACAGGAGGAAGAGGAGGAGGAGGCGGAGGAGGAGTAGGAAGAGGAAGAGGAGGAGGAGGCGGGGGAGGAGGAGGAGGATTAGGACGAGGAGGAGGAGGAGGAGGAGGAGGCACCACAAAATCAAGCCCACGAGGCTTGCCCACGCCGAGGCCCGCCCTTGCCCACGGGACGACGGCCCGCGCGGGTTTCTTGGATCTGAGCTGGCCCCCCCTCCCTGGCGCGCGGAGCGTGCCAGGGGCGGCGCTGGAGGCGCCGCCAGGAGGTCCCAGCGCAGATCCAAGCAACCCGCAATAACCGTCAGAATCCTGATGCATGTCTATGCCGTTGGGGTGCTCTTCGACGGAGGTGCCCCAGGCCGGGGAGGCCCGCACGGCATCTGGAGGACCCCATCACGAGGCCCAGAGGGCCCCAGGAGTTTGAGAGTGGCGCGGAAAGCCGGGGCCACCCTGCGCCAGGAACACCTTCGGCAACCCCCGACCCGACGGCCAGCCGACGGGTGGCCCGATGCAGGCATCTGGACCCGACTGAAGAAAGAGTGAGATCCAGCCATGAGGGCCCTGCAGGGCTTCACAGAAAACGACCAGGACACCGCCTCCGTCTCCTCCCAGCCATTCCCGCACCGCTGGTGCACTCCGCTCGATCAGCTGAGCGGATCGGGTCTGGCCGTGCAGTCAAGCTACTGCCTCAAGGAGCGCTGGAGAAGCAACGAGGCCCCCTTTTGATCCCAAAGAGCGCATGGGTGCAGAAGGGGCGTTCGAGGAACAACCATGAAAGGACCCAAGCAAAGCGAGCCCCTTCCGAACCCGAACTGTTCTTTACTTAAGCGCCTGAACTATACCGACGAGAGGGTCCCACAACGCGTTCCTCCGACCGTGCCACAGACGCTTAGCGTAGCGTCCTCAGTCCTCTGAAATGTCCTCAGTCCTCTGAAAGGATTCCGCAAAAATAGTTCTTACCGGCGCTTCAGCTCACATACAGGAATAAAGAGAAAAAGGCGGGGCAAATCGGATTGCTGGGGCGACGTCCCCGCGACCACCCTGGCGCTCGTCCCCTTCTGGCGTCGAACCGCGCCCGCCACGCCCTACAGCCCTGGCCTGGATAGAGACCAGGCTCCGGGACCACCCCCTGCGCACCCTCTCTGGGTCGAGAATGCCACAGCTTACACGGACTCCGCCCTGGAGTGGATCGAGACATCGCACAAGGGCCACTCCACTGACACGTGTCACCCCGAAAACCGAATGAGAAGAAACACCTGTTTTATAAGAACACACCAGGGTGGCACGCGTCATCCCGAAAACCGCGTGAGCGAAACCAGTAATTTCACTTGTATTCTGAAGGCCAACATGGGCCGTTCAAAATAAGAAAGCACCAGGCTTGCACGTTTCATCCTGACTGCGGGAAAAAAGCCGTTTCTCTTGTATTCAGAGGGCCAACATGGGCCCATGCAATAAAAGAAAACACCATGGTGACACGCATCACCCCGAAAACCGTGTGGGAAACACCAATTGTGTCACTTGCATTTTGAAGGCGAACATGGGGCCATCAAATCAAAGAAAGCACCAGGGTGACACGCGTCACCCCGAAAATGGTGCGAAGAATACAAGTTGTTTCACTTGTACGCTGATGGGCCAACATGGGGCCATGCAATACAAGAAAGCACCAGGGTGACACATGTCACCCCGAAAACAACATGGGGAACACGTGTGTCCTTTGTACGCGGAGGGTCACCATGGGCCCATGCAGTACAACAACAAAAAACATGAACGTGTCATCCCAAAAACCGCATGAACAAAACACATTGTGTTAAGTAATGTGTATTATGATGGCCTGCATGGGGCATGCAGAAATAGAAAGCAAATGAGGCCATGCAGTATCAAAGAGCACCAGAGTGACACGCGTCGCCCTGAAAACCGTGGGCGACAAACCCATTGTGCCACAACTGTCTCACATTTGTGTTACTGGCCAACGTTGGGCCATGCAACACACGAAAGCACCAGGGTGACACGCGTCACTGACTCGGGCTGAACTGCCCCCCAAAGATGGCATGTGAATGCGGCTTCCTCTTCAAATCTGAAAGATGCAAATCGCACGCTCCATTTCACGACGCAGCGCTGGGGGGGCATTGAAGCCGCCTTTGCGCGGGCGCGAGCGCGAAGAGTCTGAGATGATCCTGAGACGCTCCAGAGAAGCTCCCAAGGGGCTCCTCCGATGCTCCTGAGAGGCTGCTGAGGACGGCGCTGATCGCACCTCATGTAGCCGAATCCCACCTCCGAATCTTGCCTGCGGCGGCCGCGCTCCTGCTCCGAATCTTGCCCATCGACGTCCCGAATGGGGCTCCGAATCGCGCCGCGTAAGGGCTCCGAATCTTGCCCGTCGACGCCTCGGATGGTGCTCCGCACTGTTAAAAACAAGACCGAAGATAATTCGCCCAACTTTTGCTAATGATTCGGCCGATGTGAAACTGCCATCTTTCGGGGCAGCTTTCGGTGGCCTCGTCCGGTGGCATCTCGGGGGGCAAGCCCAGCGCGCGCCGGTGGCCTGTGTACTTGGGGCCCCGCGGACCCCGCGTCCAGAGCCCTCGACTCAAGGGCGCAGATCTCCTTTGATTCTGGGGCCAGGGCCCACGGACTCCGCGGCGGGGCCCAGGCGAGTCGGGGCCCGACCATGTGCTGCGGCATCGCGAAGAGCGTCCAGCAACGCCAAAGAAACCGCGCGCAAGAACGACATCGAGCAAACAAATAAGCAACCCGGAACATAGCAAAATTCACAGACGTTTCGCTTGGGGTCCTGTTCAGCGCTCGAAACCAAAAAAACAATTCGTTCACGGGTGTTCTCATGGGACCATCCTGTATAAGAAAGCACCAAAGTGACACGTGCGGCTGAGACGCGTCACACCGAAAACCACCGTAATTGGCCATTCGGGCGGGGAACTTGAGGTAGCCGTGGGCTCGAGCGTCGGGCCCAGCGGCTGGCACGAGCGCTTGTCGCGCGCGCGCGCGGGCCGCGCGCGATGGTGCAGCGCTGAGCGGTTGCACGGGCAGCCATGCCCCTCACGGGGTAACGGGGCGGCAGGCGTGGCCGTGCGTCCCGGTGCCCTGCACCCCCGCAGGCTGGGGGTGGAGCCCCCACGCAGCCCCAGCCGCGCCGGGAACGTGTGGTGGAGTGCCCTTAGCACCTGGCTGCTGGGCCGCGCCCGCAAGGGAGGGACCTGGGGACGCCGCAGACGGCTGCGCCGAGGGAGGCGCAAAGCTCCTCGGAAGCGCCGATGCGGGCCCCGCGGGTTCGAGTATCGGCCCTGGCGGCCCCCCAAAGGAGGGCGGCCCTGCCACTTGCGGAGGCCTGGCCGGGCTCAAGGCTGGCACCCGAAGAGGAGGGAGCGCCGGCGACGGGGCCAGCGACACCCCCCCAGGCGGGCCCCAGTCCCCTGCAGGCGGAGACAGGCGGCGACGCTGCGGCCCGCCCCGGCGACCCCCCCCAGGCGGGGAAGGCGCTCCTGCGCGGGCGGGAGGCGCTGGCGCCCCTTTGGCGCAGACGCGCCGGAGCGCTCGAGCGCGCCCGCAATCCGCAGGCCGGCTAGGGGCCGTCGGCGAAAACTACTAAACGCCGCTCGCGCTGGCGCTGGGCACGCTCGAGCTCAAGCACTCCCCTGCTGGGAGCGCAGCCCGAGCGAACGGGCAGCCCGCCTCTGGCGCACCCGCCGGAACAGCCGCACGCGCGGCCGCCCTCCAGCTCCCCGGGGCAAGCCCGGCGCACGCAGCCTGCCGAGGCGGCGGCCCTGGCGGCCACGCGCAGCCCCGCGGCAGGCGGCGACGAGCCGCGAGCGCGCCCCCCAGGCCGGCGCCCCTGCAACGGCAGCTCCAGCAGCTCCTCCACGGCAGCACGGGCGCCCAGGCGGCGCCGCGGGCGGGAGCTCCCCGCGGAAGGGGCGCTTCTCGCAAGGCCGGCCGCGCAGGGGGCGGCGGCGGCGGCGGCTGCCCCGCAAAGCAGCGGCAGCAGCGACAGCGGCTCCGAGAGCGGCCCCTGAGCGGCGGCACCCGCGGCGGCTCCGCCCGCGGCGGCAGCGCCTGGAGTAGGGGTTCCGACGGCAGCTCCGCCTGCGGCAGCACCGCTGGTGGCGGCAGCGCCAAGGGCAGGGGTTCCACCGGCAGCTCTGCTGGGGGCGGCAGCGCAGGGAGCTGGGCCTGGCGGCGGCGCGGCCGCCGCGGCGGACGGCGGCAAGGACAGCACGCCGCGGGCGAAGGGCCCGAGGAACCCGCAGGCAGCGCCCCCCGCAGAGGCGGTGGCGGCGGCGCTCAACGCGGGCGGCCGGGGCTGCGCTGCCGAAGGGGTCGCGGCGACGGTCCTGGCCCAGGCGGCGGCCGCCGGACTTCTCCGACAGGAAGGCCGCCGGCGCTCCCCCTAGACGCCGGCGAGCACCCCATCGAGCGCGAGCACGACGGGCTTGACTGGGCACAGCTCGTAAACCAGCCCGACTCGGTTGGCGCGCTGGGCACCCCTGCCCCAGCCTCTCCGCG